CGCTCACCCCTGTTGGCTCTTGGGGCAGGCCAACGGTCTGGCCCGTCTCTGCCGGTCCCACAGACGCGCCCTCCCCTCCATGGAACGGGAAGGGCCCTGACTTCTGCAAGGACGAGCGGATACCTGTCAGCACATCCTCGCTCTCTAGGTCATCCCACTTGATGTCGTCGACTACCTCATTGTCGTCTTCCTCATCATCATCGTCATCACTGTTGGTGTCCTCCCCTCGCTCCCGCGCCTAGAGCTTTAGCTGCCTCTTCCTCCTCTTGTCCTCCTTCGCCTTCCTAAGCCACTTGCCCTCGGCGCGATTCACCGCCCTCACGGATGAATCCCTTGGCAGCGAAGCCCGGTGATCCATGAGGACGAGGTCCCTCGGCTGGCCCCCCCATCTCAATGTTAGTGTCAAGGGGTCGGGAGATCAATTGAAGAGGAGGCATGAGAAGAGGAAACTTATGAAGATGGTGTAGCCCGGTTTCGGCTACATCGGAGGATGCCCTGGCACTGGGTACACAAAATCTAGAGGGATGCCTGCATTGTCCCATGAAGGCTCCATCACCTCCTTGATGCGCTGCGCGAGTTTGGAGAGGGAGAGCGCTCCCTCGGCTAGCACCGTCCTGACGAATGACGCCTCGGGCGCCCCCCATACAGCAGAAGTGCACGCCTCATCAGCGGTGCCACCCTCCTCACGTATTAGGCCCCGATGATGCCCGACCCTTTTAGCTCCCTCTCCTTTAGGATGCGGATGGCGACGAGGTGGTCCTGGATCTTCTTCTTGTCCTTCTCTAGGACACCCCACTTCCTCCACGAATCCGGGGCCTCTTCAATTAGGCGCTCGGTGAACTCCGGCAGGGGGCGACAGTGTCGTTCTTGAGATAAAACCACTTGGAATGCTACCCCTTGTTGGAGGTCGATAGCCGCATCACCGAGTACTCGCCGTTCTGGAGGTGGATGCCGGCGCATCCCATCGGCATATGCAGCTCCTGCTTGTTGCTCTTCTCCCTCTTCTTCTGTAGGGCAACGGCGAAGAAGTACCGCCATAGATCAAAGTGGGGACCAATCCCTAGGATCCCTCACACAGCGCGATGAACGCCGCCATGTGCTGAATTCCGTTGGGATTGAGGTGCTGCAGCTCAATCTTGTAGTAGTGTAGCAGCCCCCGAAGAAATCTGTGAGCAGGGGTAGCGAACCCATGCTCATGGAAGTGCGTGAACGACACCACGTAGCTGTCGAGCGGTAATGGCATGTCCTCCTCGCCGGGCAGCAGCCACTCCTCGGCCGTGGTCCGCGCGCAGAGAAGACCACGACGGACGAGACCCTCCATGCGCTGGAAGGTGATGTCAGAGCGGCACCATAGATCCATTGGAAGATGAGGGCAGGTGGATGCGAGCTCGATGGCGACTGGGACGTGGATGAAGGAAGCCTAGGCGATTGGCGGTGGAGGTTGCAGATGTGAAGGTAAGAAGGCATAGTATGAAACCCCAGGGGCGAACCCTTTGGTTTTATAGGAGCGACAGATGCGAGGAAACCAACCATCCGCCTAGATCTCCGAGCCTGCCATGATTTGCTATAACGTCACGCCGCGGGATATGCGCACGCAATCTCTATCCTTTCCCTTGGAAGACTCGCCGGATGTTTTGCCTCCCCGGGCGGGCCATGACTCGTTGCGAATGAGAGGAATACGGATAAAAAACACCTCTACGGCCCGTCTGAGCCTAGGGGTTTGACGGTTGGCCCATCAACGGGTTCGACAGCCACTCCAGGCACCCTTATGATAAGGGATGGAAAGGGATGAGCCCCGCAAGTGGCCAGTACCTAGGCACACGAGCGCCACGGGCATCTTAGCCCATGATCGAGTCTCAGCCAGGCTGACCCTAGCCAGATCCCTGTGAAATGGGATGCTAAGACTCCAATCGAACTATCCAGCTAACGAACCACCAAATCTCATGGCCATACCCACGAAGGGTCCGACCTTGGCAAGAAGGAATCACCGTTCCCAGGACATGCCGTGGGCAACAAAAGAAGGCCAGGACCCTCTGAGTCCTCCCTTTCGAAAAAACCTCCGAAGGAGTATTCTACTCCTCCGCAGGCTCGGGGGCTACAACCACCGGGTGCACTCGTGCGCACCCACTGGCAAGTCGAAAAAACCCCAGGTGATTCTACTTGAATCACGCGGGGGCTCAGGGGCTACTGTCAGGGACCAATACTAGGGTACCCGAAGAGAAAGAGCTAATAACCATCAACGTTGATTCATCCGAGCGGTCAAGAGCGCGACTACACCTCTTGTTGGGCTCCACCTTGTATGACCACCGAGGCCATGGGCTCCACCTCATTCGACCCCCGAGGGTTGGGTCCGCCTCGGTGGACACTGAGGCCACGGGCTCCGCCTCGTCCGACCCTCGAGGGTTGGCACCACCTCAGCTAACTTCCAAGGGTTGGCTCTGTCTCGTCCGACCCCCGAGGGTTGGCTCTACCTCGCCCGATGTCTGAGGGCTGGCTCCGCTTCGGCTGACTCCCGAGGGTAGACTCCACCTCGGCTAACTTCTGAGGGTAGACTCTACCTCGACTGACTCCCGAGGGTAGGCTCCACCTCGGTCGACCCCCGAGGGTAGACTCCGCCTCGGCTGACTCCCGAGGGTAGGCTCCGCCTTGATCAACCCCTGAGGGTCGGCTCCGCCTTGGCTGACGTTTGAGGACTGGCTCCGGCTCGCCCGATCCCTCAGACACGGTTCCTAACGGAAACTCACCTCACCGCCAACCAATACGGGCCAGAAAGTACTACTCAAGGTCAAACTTCTGGCATCGTGCAGGGAGCGGTCACATCTCAGCACGACCCGTCCCCGCGACATGTCATTACAGGGAACTCACATCGCCCACAGTGACGAACGTGTGATCACTGTGCTGCCAACTCCTTGCCTGACCACCGTCCAACGTCAGTCAACCGATGTCAGTTGACTAGCACTGTACCGCTAGCCCCCCGCATGGCCCCTGTTAGGGGACTCTTTGACCATTCTGTCCGCTCGGATGGGATGGAAGACAAGAACGACACATGACGCCCGCACGCATGCTGCAGCGCCCAACAGGACCCCAGTACGACGCCGCTGCTACCACGATCTATAGGGTCAGCGGGACCCGCACGAAGAGGAAAACAGCACACCTCTGGGAGCCTGTTTTCTCTTTCTCTCTTTCCTTCGGCTGTAACCCCTGCTTTCTCTTGGGCTATAAAAGGAAAAGCAGGGCGTCCCACTAAGGGACATCGAACAAGTGCATCACGCAGCATCGGTTCACCGCACCTCATCACGAACAACACATCACCAGAGACTTAGGACCAGTCCCTCTCTCGCCCGTTTGTAACCCCTACTATGAACTTTCAGTGCTAAGTAATACAAGCAGCAGTCAAGAACTGGACGTAGGGACATTCTGCCTGAACCAGTATAAACCTTATGTCTTCTTAGCACACCATCAGGGCCAGACGCGCAATAATATAAATTTACTCATTGGTGTTTACTCAAAACACCGACAATTATCTTACATGTTCATGACAAAATTGGCCCAAATTAGGGGGTGTTTGGTTCCACCTCCTAAACTTTAGTCGTTGTCCCATCGAATGTTTTGACATATGCATGGAGTATTAAATATAGACTAATTACGAAACTAATTGCATAGTTTGTGACTAATTTGCGAGACGAATCTTTTAAACCTAATTAGTACATGATTTGACAATGTGGTGCTACAGTAAGCATGTGCTAATGACGGGTTAATTAGGCTTAATAAATTCGTCTCGTGGAGTATTGACGGATTCTATAATTTATTTTTTTATTAGTATCCGAATACCCCATGCAACATCCTCATATGACACATCCTAAATTTTAGTCACTGGATCCCAACACCCCTTAGCAGCACGACAACTCACATATACCAGGACCTGAGAAACATCGTATGGTATGACAGCTGCAGATACAGCAAGCCATAGTCAAAGTTGCAATAATTTGTGCATTGTTCTAGTTCGATTACTCCTTGACCCAGCTCATCAAAACGGCCACCAAGACCTCTTACCCTCAGTTCTATATTTCTTTTACATATTACATTGCAATATAGGTAAAGTGTTTTGTTTACACACAGATGTATCCGATTGGTCCAAGTCAATTGCCCATCATGGTTTTGGAGATACAAAAGCTACGAGGTTTACATTTGGTCAAATAGTAACTCTGGACATTTTTAAATTTATTTTATTTTATTAATGGTGCATGTAAGTCCTATGCACATGCTCCACCAAGCAAAACTAGAATGTTTTGTCCATCTAGTCATAATAAAAGATAAAAAAGATTCAAAAGGACCATGGCTTCGATGGTTAAAAACACAAAATAAAAGCTGCAATACATGGCTCGGCAGTTTACACATGTGTCTGGGATTCACCGAGTGAGAGATAACCCGAATTTGTTGTCTTCAAAAGCTTAAGATACTCGGTATCGAAGGCATATGTTAAGTATGCTTCTGAAAATAAGAATGTATGCTTCTGAAAATAAGAATGTATGCTAAGGAATAAACTACCTCTGAATAAAATAACCCGTTAAAAAATTGGCTGAAACCTTGAAGGTTGCCCTGCAACCTGGTGAGTTTAGCTGCAACTACAATCAGATCTTAAAGCCATATTGTAAATAGTAATAACTTAACTGAACCATTTCAAGTCTTCATATTTACAAATGAACTCCTTAGGGATCTCCAGAGCACCTGCGAACTTCTAACTATCTGGTTGGGGCCGAAAGAGAGCACGATTACTGGTGTGCTGTCTCACCCTGTCACCCACTGTTGTAGCTAAGTAGGGTCAATTTTTAGCATGTGAGACTCAAGGAGGATAAACTATGTATGAATTAATCCCAGGTAATGGACATTACTTTAACCTTCTAACTTCTTGATTACATGGGACTGGCACTATAGATGAGGGTCAAATGCTACTCATTCTTAATTGTTACTTTCTTTTCTTTTGAACTATGCCATCATTGTTATCTCATATTGCAACAGTCTGGTCTTCCTTCCAGTAACTTTTGCCACATGCATAACATCAGCCTTGGCGATTGGTAATGAGCAGTATAGTAGTCAGGGACGCATCCAAATGGACAGAATTTGTCGCTGTGAATGTATTCAACAGGTCTTGTCCTATTGAACTGCTCAACCCACAAACCCAAGCTCACGTCTTCCATTTTGAAGAGCTGCATAGAGAGTAATAGTAAATTAGCTTCTTCATTACTCTGAATTACCATTATGAACTCTATACTTGTAGAAAGATAGTTTATCAGTTTTCAAACAAGAGATTAAATCAAGGCTCATACACAAGTGTTATCTCCAATTAGCCTACTAGTCAGCAAATATTTAAAGAATCAAATAAAGCGTGTAGGAACCAATATAAATAATCCATTGTCTCTCTGTTCCTTATATTGACACATTGGCTAATCTGCTATATATAAAAACTAAAAAGTGGCATTTTGGCAAATTTGTACTCCGTATTCAAAGTGCTATTTTGACAAGTGTCTGACATTCAAATGGCACTTTCGTGAACTGTAAAAAAATAATGCATGGAGGGCCTTTTTGTCTGTAAAAATATAATTCATGGAGGGCCTTTTTGTTGTGATGATTCTACGGAGGATATTTTCTCAAGAGGAAAATATAAGATTGTACCGTCAGCTTTTGCTTCATGAATTCTGACATGATAAATTCAGCAATATCAGATGATATAACATATCCAGGGCCATTCGCATATGACGGATACACCTCTTCTGGCCACTCCTGTGAAGTGATAAACAAGATTAACAATATCCACACTAAATTAAAACTAGTGTCAAAAAGAGCATCAAGTGTAAGCTAAAACATTTAAGCTATATCCAGTCACAACTCACAATATGCTATCAAAACATGTACGAACAAGATACAATAGCCCAGCTTCTGTAAACATATTCCGTAATGCTGACTTGTTAGATGAGGAACTCTACAACATGAGTATGGGTCCGACTGACCATAAAATGCTATCATACTGCCTAGATAGCTAAAGATGTTAACAGCTATACAATAATGCAAAGAATCATATGCCAAGTCTCCAATAATTGACCTTCGAGGGGCCTGTCGTCACATGCAGACATGCAACAAGTGATTTTCCAGTTCAGTTTACAAAGACTGATAACTTATTATATGAACAAATAAAGAGCAATATGGTAATTTCCAAATAAATGTATCGGGAAGGCATCCAACATCCCCATCTTGACAAGGATATACTATGGTTTCAGTGCGCAAATCTCTGAAGATAATGTGACATTGGGTGACAGAAGAGAGAAATAGAATTCCAATTCATTTATTGTGAGACAAATTAGTTGCATTCGAAACAGAATAAATGTTAAAGTAAATAAAACAAAGAAATGCTGCAAACTCTGCACTTCCACAAAAAAAATGCAAACACACAACCCAATGTTAAAAGAATTCAATATCAACTATATCACTATATGAACATAGGTTTAACCAGTCTTATCACAGTTAACACATCAGTCCAGTACAGAACTACAGATGAACATAGCTTTTATGGAATCATGACTGCAAAGAAGTAATTTTGCTTTTGCTCCAAGTTGTATAAGAAATGTTAAGGTGGTGCTTGAAGAATGAAATCTAATAACTGCTACAACAAACATTTCATAAGCTTCACCTCATAAGTCACGGCCCATTTCCCATGGCGTAGCGGCTTGTGCTGTACATTCATACTCCCCATGTAAAGACTTCTCCCACTTGGTACCTTCTTAATTTCAGTGACTACTGAATCAATTCTCACGAAAGTATCATCATCGCACTTCATTACATATTTAGCAGAGACAACATGAACCTGAGCAACCAAGTTCACTACTGTCAGGAAAATGTGAATACAGCAGCTACAGTACTCCAAAGACAATTTAGTTCAAATAGCACGAAATTCTCTGCCATACCCCATACTCGCATATTGCAAGAGTCTTCATAACAACAAGATCATAGTTGTCCAGGTAGGGCACAAAAACAATGTCACCAAAAAATTCAGCTTCCTTCTTCAGCTCCACATTCACTTCCTTTCTGCCATGCTGGAGTTAAGAAACACCTTCAGCACAAGCACACAAAACAAATGAAGTAAGCTAAGCCTTTGGGATTACATCGAAGTGTTTACCAGTGCAACGAAAAAACGAGCCACCCTGTTTGGTGACTTGTGGACAGCAGACATCCATGTCTTCCTCACACCCATACGCTCAGCAAAATGATTGGCTGATGACAGGATGCCAATGAAAATCTCAACTGGCTCATCAGGCAGCGGAGGGGCCTGCCAAACAGTAGAAAACTCCAGATAATTCTGCGGCGCAAAGCTTGGGTGTGTAGTGGGCAAAGACCCTGCAATCACTGAATGCACATCGAGGTCCCCATTCAGTGACAGGCCTGTAGCGTCCTCCAGCACAAACCCCTGCAAGGGCCACAGGAAACATAAATTAACTGGACAAGTAGAGGCCAAGTACTGATAACCTCAACTGCCCCCAACCACTAATTATTTGAACTAACTGCAATAGATAGTGCACGGCAATTAACAAGCATTCCCCAACATTTGAACTGACTGCATGAAGTGGGAAACATATGCACTTACAGTGCGGTAAGGAAACGAAGTGACATGTCGCCCATCAACGCTCACATGGTAACCCTCCAACCCAGCACTGAGAGTAAGAACAAACAGCCGGCCCTCCGCGAAAGGAAATGGCCAACCGAAATTGACCTCCTCCTTCTGCCCGATCAGCCGATTCAGCAACCATGCTGCTGTCTTTGATGTTGTCTTCGATTCCTCCAACCTGTCATCATCATCCCTAATCCACTTCTCGCACTTCACCAACCCATCCACTGCACATCAACAAAGACATTCATTCATTCAGCATGTTCGGAACAACAGAATCCACCTGAGGTCGGTCAAACAATTGAAAACAAATGAACTGACAGGGGTCCCCAACCAGTCTCCTCATCCGGGCGTGACCTCCACCCATCGCAGCGCTGCGCGGCGCCCCAGTTCATTCGGTAGCAGGTGTTCTGCTCGATCACGGGGCGGCCGCTCCAGTCCCCGCGGAGGCGCGGGTTGAAGTGGAGCACGCGGGGCGGGTCCTCGCCGTCGACGGCCCTGAGCCCCTGCAGCTCCACCATGAACTGCGACACCATGGCGGGCCGCTCCCCGTCCCTGAGCACCGCGATCGCGGGGTTCCGCTCCTCGTGCGGCGCCCGGGGCGACGCGGCGACCGTGACGTGGGACCCCAGCGCGAGCCCGCAGGGCAGCTCCACCACGCGGCGGCGCCCCCGCGCGCCGAGCTCCTCCGCGGTGAGCGCGATCGAGTGCGGGCACCTGGTGGCCGTGGCCGCCGCCGCGGCGCCGGAGGAGGGCGCCGCGACGGCGGCGGCGGAGGGGTCGAGGCCCTCGAGGTCGGCGAACGCGCGGGCGCCCGCCGCGACGGCGTCCGCGACGGACCGGCGGAGCGCGCCGGAGCGCGGGGAGTCGAGGAGGCGGACGTTGAGGTCCGTGGCGAAGCGCGAGAGCCGGCGATCCTGTCCGGCGCGCGCCGACGAGCCGCCGGGGACGGAGACGGACGCTCCGCCCGCCACGGGGCGGGGCTCCTTGACGGGGCGCGCGGGCGCCCCGCGCTCGCCCGCGCCGAAGGAGAGGTGGAGCTTCCGTGCGGCACCGGCCCCGGCGCCGCCGCCGGAGAGCGAGGTGGAGACGAACGGCGACTCGAGGGCGAGCACGAGGACCGCGTAGAGGAGCAGCACGGCCGCCAGCCCCTCCATCGCGCGGCGGCGGAAGGAAGCCCCGGCCCCCACCCCCGCCGACGCTGCCTGCTTCCTCATCACTCGACGCAGTAAGAAACCAACCCTAGCCCCACCACTCGACGGCGTCGCGGGCGCGCGCTGCTACGGCCTAGTCGCGGCCGCGCGGCGGGGGCGAGGGCGGGTGCGGGTGCCGGGGCGGAGCATGAGGAGGAACGACGGGGCGGGCGGTTTACTTGTAAATAAAAACAATGGCGAAACGGGCGATTAATGAGCTGCTTCTAAAAGACGGGGTTGCTTTTGAAAGGATTTGATTATTGCTTAGCAGCGATCCTCCCCTTGGAGGCCTCGCTAGATAGCTGATCGTGGCGTGTTTAGGAATGGGATTACTCGATACGCCGTCGCGACGGCGGTGTGGCCGGTGCGGTCCGGTGAGCGGCTGGCGTTCCGCGTTGGGTTGAGCCGGAGGGGTGATGTGGCGCGTGGACTCAGACCGACGACGAGGCAGGGGGGCGCGGCACACGCGACCGAGAGGCGGGGGAACACGTTGTCCAGGCGTATGCCGCTGTTGCCTTGGGGCGACGACGTGGACTGCGTGACGTGGTCAACGTACGTCGTTAAGAGAAATAACGTTAGCGGTTCTACTTTTTTAATTATATATTATATATAATCACAAAATTTGTTATAATAGCTATGGTTTGGTCCAACGCGTCAATTATTTGTAAACCGATGGAGTAAACTTTTTGTACTAAAATAGCTTTACTTTGGTGTACTTGTTGTGTTCATCATTATGCAAGGGGAAATTTACTTACTCCCGTATCAACAGAAACATTTATTTATTTTTTCTTCGTATTAATTGCTACCTCCCCCCACCCCTTTTTCCAAAATTGTAGGTTCTTTAGTTTTATCCAAATCAAACTAGTTTAATTTTGATCAAGTTTATAGAGAATGGATCAACTCTAGTGCATATCAAAGTAGTTTCATTCAAAAAAAAAGAAACTATTATTAGAGGTGGTGTCACTGTCCGTCTCAACCTCTTCGTCTCTATTAATCATCAAGGGATACACTAGTAGGCTCTACAATGCCCACCTTCATTAATAAGGAAACAAAGGAATAGTCCTGTGTGTTGTTGTACGTGGGCGATTCCGATTTCATGGTCCTTCCTCTTGTTTAGATGAACTGCGGTCCATTATTCCTTTGTGTTTCGTATTGGTTTGAGGTAGTCTTGCTAGCTTCTTTTGAGTTGTTGTAATGTCTTAACACGACGGATTAGGGAAACACTATATATCATGTACTTGTTTTTTCTTTTCATCCGGGCAACAAACCAGGACCGTTGGATCTTCATCATGTGGCTACGGAGTTGTCTTCAACAACCTCCAGCAGTTTGGCTTCTTCCAGTGCTCATGGTCGCAACACTGCTTCCGCCCCGCCCCTCCGGCTTGCCTTGCCAATGAATGACGACCTCCCGCCATCGTGTCCAACCCCGCTATCCCCCGCCGTGCTAACTTGGCATTGCTAGGCCATAACTTTGGCTCCCCATTGTTGATGGTCACTAATACATATTTTTACCATCAACATTCCACCCAAAAGCATGATAAAGTGAGGTAAATCATCATCATACATGTTGCATTTTGTTTATAATTCACCTAGTTCCACTTGTGCTTGTAGAATTATTTATGCGAAAAATATAGCAATAATATGCAAAAGGTGACAAATATGGACATATGAACCAAGTGGGCGTGGCGGTGGGGCCAGAGTCCCACATGCCACGCCTGGCTCGCTCACACAAGGGGGCCGTCCAGCAGCCATGTGGCACAGCCACGCCACCGATCCGTGGGAGCCGCTTGAAGCAATGCCAAGCGTTTATCTAAGTCGGGTTTGCACCGATGGACGAGATGGAGTTGACGTAGATCCACCGCCCACCGTCAGACACTTGGGAGGCTCCAACCGATTTACAAACTGCCTTACCTACCGAATTTCGACATGTGCCAATCCTACAACCGCCTTTGGGAGCCAACCAGCACCGGAGGATCAAGAGGCGGTGGATCCAAGGGCCGCCCGGTGGCCCCTAGCCGTCGCCCGGTGCCCTAAGGTGGCCACCGACCTCCTGGCTGCCTACAAGTACCCCCTCACTCTACACTACAAATATGGGGTGTGGAGCTCGGTGGAGAGGTACCCCCATTCATTTCCAAGCTCTCCAAGCTTTCTAGCTTAGCTTAGCTTTAGAGTAGTAGTCTAGTAGTGGAAGCAGAGCAAGAGCGAAGCTTCTCTCGGAGTCCAGAAGAGTATTTTGGGTCTGGTATAGCTCTTTTATAATTCTTTCATTTCGTATTTACTTTATTCAGTACTTTATTTCTAGTACTTTATTCTAGTATTATTGCTTTACTTAGTTCAAGTTCTAGTTCATTATTGTTCATCATTAGTGAGCTTAGGTGCTTGTTACTTGGCATTAGTAGCATAGGTTATCTCATTATTAGTAGTCTTTCGTTAGTACCGGTTCCACTGTCTAGTTATAGTACTTTGATCTCATTTCATTGGAGCTCGGATCGAAGTAGTAAAAGCCTATAGATTAAGCGAGGTGCTTAGGCTATAGATTACCTGTGGATACGGCTAGGCCTCCGGATAGATTGTGGTAGTTGGCAAGTGGTGACAGCCTTGTCCATCCTCTGTATTCCACCACGTTAGGTCTAGTTATTAAATCGTAGGGCTCGTGGCAGACCTTATTTATTTAACTCTCCGAGTTTGTAGGCGGACTGTGCCCCGAAGTACTAGCGTATTTCTCCTAGTCATTTGTTTACCCTAGTTACTGAAAGATAAATCGCTTGCTCTCCTACCTAGCTATCTCTAGTGTAGCTTGTTTAGTAGTTTAGTAGGTAGTTCACACACAAACCACCATTATCGTTCACCTACCTAGGATACACTTAGGCTTCCCTTTAGCAATCCTAACTAAAAATATAAGTTCTAGCCTTCCACCTGAAGGCTCTAGTTTGGTTTTGGTAAATTGATAAAACCTTATGTGCTAACCTTTGCTCTAGTGATCATAAGATAGTGTTTACACCAAAATTTAGAAGAAGAGTCGTAGGGACTCGAAAGCTCCCAAGATCATGTCATCAAGGAATCAATTACATGCAGATCGAAACCAGCTGATTCGAATGCAGCGTTGGAATCGGCTTTCTTCAGGTAGCACCAGTAGATAACGACAAAGGCTACGATCGGCGCCGGGACAAAACATGTTGGACTCTAAAAAAGGGAAAGATTAGAGTCCAAGTTATCTTAAATTAGGAATGTTTTCTCTTAGGGCCAAAGATTATGACGAGTCGTGCTTAGATAGGAGTCATGCGTAGGTCCCGGGTATAAATATCAAACCCTGACTATTGTAAAGGACACACAATCAATCAAATACAAGTTATTTATTTTTTTTGGCACCGGCCACCCCTTAGGAGTAGGAGTAGAGTAGATCTCGGCGAGTTCTTCAGCAAGTATGGCTGCATCGATCCGGTCGACCTCCACTGCTTGTCTGTAAGTACCGTCATGGCTTATATCTCTGTTCGTACGGCTGCATCGATCCGGTCGACCTCCACTGCGACTCTGGTATAAGTTAGTTATCGACTCTTGTCTAGTTCAAGTAAGGCTGCATCGATCCGGTCGACCTCCATTGCTCGAACTAGATTAAGGTTAAGTTATCGGCTCTATCTAACGGTGGCGTTCCTTCGGATAGATTCATTAAGTTACCGATATTGCTTATTGCTTCCATTATTTATTTAATTACAGCAATATCACTTCGCCCGATTGGGATTGATCTAGATCGGCCTTATATCATTTTTAACCCATCGTTTGTTAATCTAGATTTGATCTAATTTGTACTTTAAATGATGAGTTATGTTTTATCGGCTGTTTTATATCAATCTTGATCGTGCATAGCGTGTGGTTAAGGCGTGTCTGATTTTGAGTAGATCTACTGGCTAGCGAAAACCGTTCCATGGCCTGTTATCACGGCCTGTGTGATTCTACCTCACACCCCACTGTTAGCACCATGGAGTGGGGATCGTTATTTGGTAGATCTGTTCCTGAGAGGGCATGACCTTAACTGTGCGTTATACCTGAATCGGCTGTTTTAGCCGATATCGAACGCTTTCATGAACAGTTCACATCACGAGATCGTTGAAGTAGAGATAAGTTGAAAGATGTGTTAGCCCCATGATCTTATTATTGTATTACGGCCTGCATGATTCTGCCTCATGCCCCACTGATATTAGTAATAAGTTAGGATCGTCGAGTCTATTGTTGTTTCTATGGCCTACATGATTCTGTCTCATGCCCCACTGGTCATAGCGATAGATGAGATCTAATATATTCATTAGATTTATCTTTATTAAATGGTTAAATGATGATGAGCTATTTCATTTATACAAAAGGGGTTCGGTTACTTACAGTCATTGGCTTAGCATAAACTAATTATTGTTGACATTTTATTGCTAAGAGCAAAAGAGCCGGTATGGTCGCCTTATGAACTTGTGCATGGCTATGATGCAGTCTTTCCTTGGGAAGTTCAGACTGAGTCGAGGCGTGTTATGTTGCAGAATGATTTGTCAGTCGAAGTCTACAAGAATCTTATGATAGATGACTTAGAATTCTTAAGTTGTCTTTGGTTGCGTGCTCTTGAGAAAAACATTGAAGCCCATAAACTGAGGATTGCAAAATATTACAATTAAAAGGTCAAGATTAAGCAATTTTCTAAGAGGGACTTGGTCCAGAAAGTAAAATTGCCGATCAGATCAAAAGACAGTAAATTCGGCAAATGGTCACCTAACTGGGAAGGACCTTATCGGATCAAGCGTTGTGCGCCTGGTAATACTGATATTTTGGAAACACTGAAAGGATTCGGTAGAGCAATCAAATGGGGAATATTTAAAGGAATATTACCCTAACGTTTGGATTAATACTTGACAACCAATTTGCTCGGTTGTCGGCTCTAATAGCCGATACCAGAAGGGTATCACCTCTAGTGCAAAAATAAACCC